ACACACACACACACACACAAACACACACACACACACACACACACATACACACACACATACACACACACACACACACACCATACACACACACACACACACACATACACACACACACACACACACACACACACACACACACACACACACACACACACACACACACCTTCACTGGGAACTCACACACACACACACACACACACACACACACACACACACACACACACACACACACACACACACACACACACACACACACACACACACACACACAGAGATACCTTCACTGGGCACGCCACACACACACACACACACACACACACACACACACACACACACACACACACACACACACACACACACACACACACACACACACACACTCACAGGCACACACACACACTCACAGGTGCACACACACACACACACACACACACACACACACACACACACACATACCTTCACTGGGCACGAACACACACACACAGATACCTTCACTAGGGACGACCACACAGCTCACACACACCACTGTCTATTCACACTTCAATAATGTTCACTATTCTTTATACTTGTATGACGTTTTCATACTGCCAAGTTTTTTAATCCATGACATAATTCCTTAATTGCTTTTTATTTTTGAATCAATAATATCATCCTTCAAAGTCACTCTAAGCAGATGTTGTCCCTTCATATAAATGCTTACCTCCTTGCTTCTTAGTATCGTCTCCTTTCTGATCAACTTTCTTCGGCTGCTCTTTAGGACTCTGAGGTTGCTGTGAAATGAAAGCAAATATTAATACAGGGAAGCCACGAAAGTGTACAAGATATTTAGGAAACAGTGTGTATTTTAGATGTGTATACTCGTGATTTTCCTACCTTGGTAGCTGACTTCTTGTCCTGCTTATTACCTAAAAATAACAGAAGAAATTGGTGGTCAAACATTTGGAAATGAGGACATTTTAACATTTGTTAGTCAAGTTATTTTAATAGTCAAGTTATTTATAATATGCCTACAACTCCTCTGGCATCCAGATCAATTAAACAAAAAAATGTCTTAACTTTCTTTTTCAATGAGTCAAGTTATTTTAATATGCCTTACAACTCCTCTGGTATCCAGAAGATAAATTAAAAAAAAATATATAGTGTATTTCCCCCACATTACCTTTTGTTCCTGGCATTTTGGCTTATCTCTAGTCAGTGATTACTGAGAAATGTGTTTAAAGTGCCGCGCGACCCGCTCATTTATGGCCCTCGCCTCTGAATGGCTCCGTCACTGGGGCCCCTTCGAGAAAGCGAACCACGAACAAGCAAAGAGCCCCGTCAGCTGAGTAACCCCGCCCCCCCCCCAAAAAAAATCCCCACTCTTTGCTGATCCGGTCGGAAAAAGACTCCCAGCTGACCTTGTCATAAAGCCATTGTGAACTCAGTGGAACTGTGTGTGCACCTTTTGTCCCGACAAGAAAGCCTCGTTAACGTGAGAGTGTGTTACCATTATTTTAAAATAAGGTCGACTACGTCAGGGATCACTATTACTTTAAAGTGTTTATCACTTGTCACTTGATTAGGATCGTGCCCTCTCAAAACCAAATAAGAAGGTGTAGGCAGATGTTACATTTGATTAATATGATTGAAGTGAATTAGTCTTCAGTGTTGTCGGCAGTGAGTGGAGGATTAAGTGAGGCTAAATGTGCTAACCTTGCGTTATCCATTGTGTGTACTTTTAAGAGGGGGAGGTATATTTATATTGATGTACTTTAATTTCGTTTTGAGGTATGTGCACTTGTGCTTAGTACTTCTACTCAACAAATTGGTAGCAAATATTGTATTTTACTATTTGACAATGTATTAAAATAATGGGGAAATAATGAAACAAGATTAAACTAATTGAAAAATATAATAATGTACAAATAATAACACAGCTTTATTTATAAATGTATACAGTGACATGATCCATGATAGGTGCACCCACAATTCTAATTCAGACACTTTTAAGCATTATACTAGAACAATACATTATTATTATTATTTATTGATTTCATGTATTATTCTTTTTCTTTGTTGTTTTGTTAAGTTAAGTTATTATTCGACCACTACTTGTATCTTATTTGAGGAGGGTCAAAGTTTTAGTAGCCAGAATTGTCTTTAGTTCTTTATTGTCAGACTCAAATTAACGATTTAAAAAGAAACATACAAAAAAAGACAAAAAAAACAAACAAATATGTTTAATTTCCTTATCTAATCAAATAGCAGTAGTTTCATCACATTGTCTAAAAGAAATAAAGAAATATAAAGAAATCTGAAGCTGTGAATCATCAGATTTTGCTCCTCACTAGTGGGCGGCGCTTAGCGGGTCACGTGACCTGACTGTTGAAGCAGTGATGGAGAGAAGCTAAGGAAGGTGAGCCGCTTTCACCCTTATTTCTCCGTGTTTTTGTCCTTAATTATGACTAGACAATGCCTTATTCTCTGTATAAACTCGCTTAATGATAGACTTTCTATGTCAATTGGAGGATTTGTGGGAGAATTACATTTAAGCGAGGAAAACGTGTTTGATGTTGTGGCTAACTGCTAGCTAACGTTAGCTGTCAGAGACTACTTCCTGTCTGAATGCTGAACCAAATACACACATATTTTAGCTCTTTTTGACTGTTTTACTGCACTTTAACTATCATTTCCTGGTGTTAAAACACGTCAAATTATCTAATGGTGCCATTTTATTCTAGAGCATCCCCTGATTCAATGCTTTTTATGGGTGGGGTGATATCAGATGTTTATTTAGAATATAGTTGAGAACGTTGGCCACAATGAAGTATACTTACAATTATGGGAGTAATAAAGGTTTGCAATAAGGGAGAAGTGTTAATTGAAACCCTCCCTTTCTCATTCTCCTGTTTTACAATTGTCATGAACTTTATACATTAACAGAGGGATTTATAATAACAGGAGGTGTACACCGACATAGTGAGGGACAACCCGGCAGGTTTAATAACAGACAAACAAAAAGGAATTACAATAGTTTGGTCTGAAACGGTGACATGCAGTAGATGTAGAGTCTATTCCCAACATTTATAATCTACATATTCATTTAAATTGTCCTGTAATGTAGGTAATTGTTCTTTACAAATTCTCTATCTTGTATATCTTAGGCATTTTTTACATTACATGTCACTTGTTAGACGCTTTTATCCAAAGCGGCTAACATCCCCACAGAAGCAATTTGGGGGGAAGTGTCTCAGGGACACAACGACATACTGACTGCAGTGGGGTTTGAACCTGTGATTCGCCACAGTCTTTTTAATGTCTCATTTTAATGTCTACTTGCCCGTT